CAGATTTAGAAATGGAAAGCAATAGCTATTCAATAGCCTGTCAAAAGGAAACAACAGATTCCCTTTGCTTGTAAGACTGTGATCTATCTACACGAAAGAAGTTGATAAAAATAAAATACTAGGAAAGGAAGGAAAAAAATAGAGAAAGATATGTTGCTTTGATGATTTATGTATGAAAGTCAAAAAATAATGTAACTGAATGATAAATGAAATACTAGACACTTGATCTCTCACTACAGACTAGATAGTAAAAGTACAACCTTAGAAGCAATTTGGTGACAAAGTCAGAATAATGTTACCTTTGGACAAAAAGTCTTATGACATATTCAGAAAAAGGAAGGTGAACACAGCTTCAGACCAACCATGCCATAGTAGTTTCCAGGTTTCTCTCTGTTACTTCTGAAATCAATTGCTTAGCTGATTTGTGCCTGTGAATTGATTGAGTCATGTTCTGTGAATATGGCAATTTTGGGCATCTCCTTGACGGAAACCTTACCCTGACTCCCAAAATGTAGCTTTTCAGAGTAAAATTTAGTAAAATTCCCAGCAATAGGAAGAAATGCAAACACAGTAACCCTGCTTTCTAAACCATGCTTATCTCCAATGATATTACTTTAAAAATTAGCAATTAAGGATTTATATTCAAATTTTTTTAAAGAAACAAATGAAAGGAAAGAGGCTTTAAAGCAATCAATAGAGAATGTAATTTTTGATGCTTTGATAAATCTGTCAACAAATTTTAAATAATGAAGTCAGTTCAGGATTTTCTAGATTTAATAAATTTAATATCTACATACAGTAGAATGGTATAATTTAATTTGCTCAATTGAGTTGAATCTGATTGAAAATTTTACTTCTCAATTAAAATCCCTTGTCATTGATTCAACTTGCAACCTCCTCTCAGCCCTGGATATTACTTTATTCAGTCTGCATCTTGAAGACATTTACATTTCTAATTACATGCCCAGTGCCATTTGAAAGCAAGCTATTTAAATGTCAAAGAAGGCATTTAATAGTTGTACCTGTTAAAATAGATAGTTAGGTCATTCTTTAAAAGTATAATTCTTCTAATAAGCTATCACTAGAATTTGAAAGCCGAAAGATGTTGCTAGCAATGCATATAACCATTATCCACATATATAGTGCACTTAAAGACTACAGTATAGGTACACCTTTATAGGTGAATTGAATCTGAATTTTCAGAGAAACCAAGAAGGCTGAAAGAACTTTAAATTAGATTTTGAAGATACACTAAAAGTTTAGCCTTGTAGTTTGGAGACCATATACCAAAGATTCTGACACCTCTCAATTAAATAGGGGATATAATGCATTGTGATTTTTTATCAGAAAGGATAAAATGGAAACTAATGCATAATTACATAAGGAAAAAGAAAACTCATTTTCAAACACAAATAACCAGTTACTACAGAGAAGGAAAAAGAATAAAGCATGTATAAATAAGAAATTTTCTTGTAGCATTTCCCATGTGCAATTTGAGAGCTATAATGTAAGAAAACAAGCAATATTGTGACTTCACTGAGGATTTGGAGTCTGCATGAAGTCTGAATAGAGTTTCATTCCAGCTCTGTCCCATACCACCTTGATAACCTAACTTTTTGCACATTTATTTCCTAATCTATAAAATGGAAATGATAATAACAGCAATTTGGGGAAATAATAATAAGATCAAACATATATGTAATATTTCCCTCCTACTACTGCCCCATTCATTCTGTATTTTAATATGAAAAAGGGACAGGGGTATTGATTGATTAGAATTGTTTTATTCTAAACTTAATATTATGGATATGTAACCAGTAATACTCAGAGAGAAATTGTTGTCTTTACATTAGCTCTTCTGAGCTTTTATATTCAGCCATTTTTGGTGGTCAATGAAGGCCTTATCTTACTAAGGGGATCTGCATTCACCAGATAACATTTCCTTTATTTCGATTTGTTCATGTTCTCTTCTCCATTATTTACAGAGTTTAGAGTTTCCACTCACCCCTAAAGGTTAATATGACATCTCTGGTCTAGCAACTAGCCTGAAACTTCCAGAGGCTCTATCTATACTTAAGCTATATGTATCAGGAAACTCAATGCAAAACTGAGATTCACCAGAGTGACTTAGTAGATCATAACTCAGCCTGGCTCCTCTTAGTGGGGAACCCTGATGTGTGGCTTTGGTCTCCAGCTGTTCAGAAGTATTTTATGTTCTTATCAAAGACAGAAAAATCTTCTGGAAAGTTAATGCATCATCAAGTCAGGTGTGAATCCCACCAAGAAAATCAACTATTTGAACCCACAGAAATGTCTCAGAAAGATGTAGTATCTAGGTAATTCAATACCTCTAGGAGACAATGCATGGAAAGACAGTCATTGGTTTTTAACTACATATTATTTTGAAAAATGTCACCATCTTTTCCAGAAAAGCATAGATCTCTAAATTAAAATGCTTTTAAAGAAAGTAAATTAAATCAAGAACTTAAATCAAGAAATAGAATATGCTGCATTCCTTGTAACAATACATAGAAATGGCCCCCAATACATTAGTACACATGTTTAAAAAATCATTCTTAATAAAATGTTAGAAGACATTCAAATTAGACCTACTTACTCACTGCTATCTCAATCATGCAAAATGCTAACTAGTAGGGATGGACAATTCTGAATTCTGTTTTCAACATGTTTAATGAAGTAGGATTTAAATTAGCAATCCTTACTATATCTTCACATTGCATAAAATAAAATCAAAGATAGCATACTATTTTAATAAGAATGCTATAAAAAGCAATACATAATTTATTTTATTCTTCTTCTTTTTTTAAGTCTAGGGATCAAACCCAGGGCCTCATGCCTGCTAGGCAAGGGCTCTACCACTGAGCCAGCCAACTATTCTATTGAAGAATCACAATACTGATCATGCTGGCCTTTCTAGCTGTACTTGAAAGTTGTTTTTTTTTTTTTTTTTAAGTGCTTTGAGAACTATCCCAGATATGAAGAATTTGGTCTTAATGCAATATTTTGGAATTCTGACAAATATCTGCTGCATTATCAATTATCTAAATATCAACTGAAAATTCAGCAGTTGACTGCCTAGTGTACCCAAAATCCTACATTTTAATCCTGGAATTTATTTAACTTGACTTCTTAGAACCATAAGGAATTTCTAATGCATTGCTTTAAGAAAATCTTTGTTTTGTGATTCTTAGATGCTTTAAACAAAAATAGGGGTTTAATTGGAGATAACTGGTACTATTTTAGCAAACAATTTACCAAAGTGTATTCCACAAAACATTAAGTCTGTGAGATTCTATTGGTGAGAAATTTTTATGGCCAAATAATGGAGAAATGCCAAGTAGGAAATCTTTACAACCATCTTGCAGATTCTTTAGAATGCATATTCTATAAAAGAAGGGAATTTGTCTAAGCCTGGTCTACTACTGTGGCCTCCAGTCTGCAGCTATGCTTTGCAATTAGAAGACATTCTGCAGAAGTGAATGAATAAACACAGAGGCTTTGAATAGTCTTCCACCATAGAAATGTCTTTAATTACTACTTTAATTTTCTTTCACTCAGAGTATCCCATATCTATTGAAACACAGGAATCCTTTGCTTTATTGTTTAGCACTATAGAATATTTTATGTATAAAAAAGAAGAAAGAGAGAAAAAGAAAGAATAGAGAAAAATAGAGCAGGCATCCATATAACTTCTACCTATATTCAGGATTAAATGTCACAAATACAACAAAAAACAGAAGCCTTTCTACTGTGCTTCCTGCATTCCATTTCATTTCACAACCCACCTTCGCCCTCAAAGCAAGATCACCCCAACATTAGGATTTAGGACCTCATGATACTTATTAATTTCCTTCTCTAGGAAATCCTGAGTTTATGGGAGTAGATCGCTAAAGACCCTTCAGTGCATATTTTATAAATGCCTGTCTACAAATCTACCTACCTACTAAAATAAAATAATAATGAATAAGAAATGAATAAAATAAAACACTACAATACAGATGCAAAGACAACAGACAATTGATGTAATAATGATATTTACAGAGAGGCTAAGCAGCTTTTCTTTCAGACGAACTGATATAAAATATAAAGAGAGATAGATATGTATCTTTAGATTTTACACACATGTACATACACACAATAGCCTAAGAAAGCATAGAAATATTGGTTATTACAATATTGATTCTCTATAAGAAAAAAATCCTCAATTCTGTGTATTTGGCTTAAGAAATTATCACCTGATGCCCATGTCAATGTGACAATGTGCCCACATTTACAAAACAGGTCCTGCCAAGAAGAAGAAAACCCTTTCCTGAGCCAAATAAATACTTGCTATGAAAAGGTCTTTGTCAATGTCCAACACACTCAAAAGGAGAACCACAAGTGGAGTAATATAGTTTAATAGAAAAATAACTAGTTTTTTAAAAAAACAGTAAATTTTTTTTGGTAAAACATTTTCCCCCTCAAAATTTCAAGTACCAGTACAGATGTTTCTAAACCATCATAGAAAAACTTTACTTATATATCTAATAAGATGTGCTTTGGAACATTTAATTTTGGGGCCTGTGCTTCATAAAGCAGATGAGAAGACCTAGCACAGACATTTCTAGACTTATTGCCATATTTCTTAATTTTATTATAAAGGTTGTTGACCAACTTACTAAAAAAAGAATTGAATCCAAAACTGCAGCTATGTAGCTAATTGTATATGTAACCAAAACAAGAGCAAGAACAATCAAGAATGCAAGATGTGTGAATGAATTGTCCACTGTATAACTGGTAACCAATGTCACATAGTTTTATAGACAAATGAAAGAATTATAATTTCATTTCACTTTTCAAGTAAACTCAATGCATTCTTCCTGTTAAGTAACCAACAAAAATGAAATATAACTTCAGAATATCTTTACACATCCACATGTCTTTTCTCATATTAAAATGAATTTGTATCTAAAAATGCTGATGAAAGTGTTAATACTTACCCCCATTATCTTTTAGATGTAGTGCTATCTTGGTATCATCTGGAAAAGAAATACAAAAGTATTATAAAGAAATCATATTTTAAAGGTATATAAATTGGATGGCCAGTAACTTTCTATTAATTGCCTTAACTGTACCATATCTAGACTTTGATAATTTATTGAGAAAATTTCTAGTGATGGAATCTTCTGTATGTGATGAAGTACTAATTATTTTTAGAGATTATAAGAATTTAGTAAGGTATATAAGCCTTAAGTTTTATAAGAAAGGTAAATAATCATAATTATATTTTAAAAATACATCTATTTGTAATTTTCTAAAACAAATTTATAGGACTCAGTAGTTATCATTTATTCATTCATTTTTAAATATCAATATCAAGAAAAATGTAAACTAATTAGAATAATCAGGTTTATAAAAAATTATAAATTAAATATAAAAACCAATGCTTTTTGATTTTTAATGAATATGACCAAAATAACTTATCAAAAGATCTTGTCCTGAATGAACAAAATATAGGATATGGTTTTTCATTTTGGGGTTATATTTCATTCTAAGGGTAGTATTTAAATTACAGAAGTATTTTCATGGACTTTCATAATAGCAATACAATGTTATTTTGTATTGCTATTATGAAAGTCCATGAAAATACTTCTGTAATTTAAATACTACCCTTTTAAAAACAATAAAATGCATTTGACTTTTTCCTTCATCTAACTTTATTTCAGTTACCTTATAATATCCAATTAAATTTCTATTAAAATCCAAGGTCTAATGTTTCATTTAATTTCCTGTCTAAAAGAAAGCAAGCCTATGGCAATAAATACCTAAGACTCTTTTCTCTTCTCAAAGCTTCCTCTTGGCCAGCTATTCTCCTATGTCTGCCTACTTCTTAAAGGTAGCATGCAAACAGAAATTTATCAAGTATTTGGTAATATGCCTTCTTCTCCCAGGAATTGTGCTTATATGTTAATATTCTTCTGTTTTGCCATCCTTAGGAGAGGTAATATTTCTCAAGGATAATTTTTGTGACCTTCAAGGTGCCTCGGTATAGGTTATAAACTAACATTTCATTGACTAGATTCAGGAAGTATTAGAATTGCAGGTGAATAGAACTATCTATTGCTCAGAATTCAGAATCAATGGACATTTTATATGCATGTTGCCTTTCCATCCTGTGACTGCAATATTGAGTTTGGTGACTGCTAAATTTAGCTACCTAAAAAGAAGTCTATATTTCTTTTCTAGGGAGGACAATAAGTCAGATCACAGGTAACAGTTAAGCCTTAATAAAAGGCAGAGTATATTAAAAAAAAAGTTATAGCATACATTTTCAGTTTATAATAATTTCTTTCTTTTATTCCCCTTTAGAAATTCCTTAGAAATTCAGTTTCCCAATGCCCTCAGAGGGCAGGAGGTACTCAGGTATGTGTCAACACAGTGATTTTTCACTCTACTGAAGAAAAAACCAACTCTGGGGCACCTTCTGTGGGTAGGCTGGTAGGCAGCTGGGATGTCGCTGTCCTCCGGGTGGTGGTCAAAACCTTGAACTGCGTGGTTGTCACATGTAGGGTTGTGGTGGTTTGAGAGGATGTTTCCATGGGCTCTGTGTTCTCACACATCTTCTCTTTAGACTGGTATGGGACACAGAAAGGAAAGCAAATTGAGCGATCACGCATATATTTTTTAAAATTGCATCAAAGAAGTTGGGCTGTAAAGTAAGAAGGGTTCATGAAAAAGATAGCCAACGTATTGTTTTTGTACCAGACAATATTTGTAAGTTTCATTATTTATTTAAATCCCACCATTAATTTACAAAGTTCATAAAATAGAAGAGACACAGAAAAAGTGGACATAACACAGTAGGTCGATCTTTAGATATTTAGATTTTATCATTTTGGGCTATTAACTTTCATCTTGCCCTAAATTCCATATTAATATGTTTATAAAAGATACTACATCAGAAGAAAAAAGTTGAAATTAGAAGAAAAAATGTATATGATGATAAGATTTAAACGACAGTTGGGTATGTGAAGAAAGAGTACATCATCTCAGACAAGCTAAATCCAAACGTGTGCTAATTGCTTTGGGCTACTTTGTTTTCTCAGAATTAATCTGCCACAGATTGAATGAATATCTTAAATATACAAAATCACATATGTAAAGGATTGAACAGCACTCACTTAAACACGTGGTCTAGTTTTCCCTGAAAGGGCTTTCCTGAAGCTACCAGGAAAAGGTACATTTCCTACAGTTTATTTATAGCCTACAAAAATAAATTCTATAATCCTCACTATGAACAATCTCCAGCATTCAAAACTTTGCAGTTTAGAAGTTGGTGTTCCAACCCACCTCTTTGTGCTTTTAAGGACTCTTCTCTCTCTGGTAGGTCTTGAATAGAAAAGAACTGATCTGCACATGAGTGGTACAGATTCCATATTCGGAAATTATTAAATAAATACCTTCTTTAAACTCTCTTCTAATTAGTGAAGTCCTAGGCACATTTTCAGTGAATACTGAAGAGTTCCTCAGACAGCTTCCTTTTCATTAATTGCATATAATTAAAGTTTGCTCTCCACTTCAAATCCCACCATCCTCTGGGCTCACTGAAGACTCCAAACTGCAATTTCTGCGCTTTCTCAACTCCAAAGATTTAATGATCAACTCTCTGACTCCACTTTATTTGGCATCCCTACCCACTGGATCTTATCTTCAATGAGAGATGCTTAAGTTTGAACTCATAAACGCCATTATCCTATCTCAGTCTATCCATGTACAAGGTCATGTTCACTCAAATGTTTCTTATTCTTTGATTTCTTAGAAAGCCCAAGCACAATGATTTTCTTTCTTTGAGTCTCTTTTATTGCCTCACTCCATCATTTTTCAATAGCTTCAAGCACTATTATATGTTCTTTAGAAAATCTTCAATAATGTAGACATTAAGAAATCTGCTTCTTTCCATGTCTGCCCCAAAGCCAGGCATAGCTGAAAATGAATTCCTTGGCACCCACTTCTCCTGCCCAGGGAGCCCCACTCTGTATCCTTAGTTAAGCTATCCACACTGCCTGACAATACTGTTCTGTTCTGCTAATCACTCGCCCTGACCCTCAGTATCAATTTCTCAAGTCTGCACTCTATTTAAAACTACAGTCTCATAATGATTCTCTCAATTTTAACCAATGGGCTCAGCATTTATCTCTTTGATAAAAGAGATATCATCAGCAAGAATTCTTTTTTAAAATTTTATTTATTGAAGATGGGAGGGGAGGGGAGGGGGGATAGTAGAGGATAGGAAAGGCAGCAGAATACAACAGACACTAGTATGGCAGTATGTAAAAACGTGGATGTGTAACTGATGTGATTCTGCAATCTGTATACGGGGTAAAAATGGGAGTTCATAACCCATTTGAATCAAATGTATGAAATATGATATGTCAAGAGCTTTGCAATGTTTTGAACAACTAATAAAAATAAGAGATAATAAAAAAAGAAAAAAAATTATTTATTCATTTATTATTGGTACATTATGATTACACATAATAGTGAAACTTGCTATAACATACTTATACATGCACACCATATAACAAAAGGGACATATTCAGCAAAAATTATTTAAATTTCTTTAAAACTCGGCATACTCACTACCATTGGAACTGACCTGTTCTTTCATTCTATAGTAATGGATGGGAGCCATTTTGTATAGTGATTATTTTGACCTCTGCTTTGGCCCAACTGAGCTCACTTTATTAGGTATTGGACTCTTGCTTTTTAGATCACATCCATATTCTTTAATATTTGTCCTAATTCTACGACTTGTTATTATGAACACTTAAACATACTCACACATGTGTGATCTTATCTTACAAATAGTCCTTGTACTTCTCCATAATGCATCCTAACCTCACATTATCCTACTTTTCCTTCTATTCATACTGATACTTCCAGACAGAGTAGTATGTTCTTATCCTCTCAGAATCCCATATTTCCCACTTAGGATAATTTTGTTCTTATGCAATCTAACTCAGGTGAAATTTCTTATACCAATATTTCTACATATCTTCTCAGCAAATTTTCCGGGGAATACTATCAATATCTCAACAGCATTTAGCATAGACATCTACTCTTAACCTGGGTTTCTGTGTTCTATACTGTCATCAGTGTTCTGATACCTAATAATTTTTTCTGTTTCATTTCTATGGTTTTCTGTTGGTGGTTCTTATGGATCTTTCTTGACCTGTCATTTTATTCTATGCTTTCTCACGAGCCATCTCTTCAACACCCGTGATTCTACCTAACATCTTTATGTTGAGTATTCACAAATCTATATCTCTATATCCCCACATTACTCTCTCGGACATCTGGCTCAAATATTCATCTATTGACTGGACATCTGCATGTGGACCTCACTCCATCTCAAGCTCTAGAAGTCTAGAATGGAACTTGCCATCTATAATTGTCCCCTCGTGTTTCTGTTCTTGATGAACAGCACTATCAAACACCTCATGTTGAAGGTACGATAGTAGATGCAGTTTAGTTATACCAGTAAAGGCATATTAAGACTATAAATGTCTTTCTAGTTGTTATAAAATATAACAACTAGATTTTGGATAAAACACAAATTTTAAAGCAGCATTAGAATTTGCAGGAAGTAAGAAAACTCTCTAGTGGTGTCTTCCCATTGTCTCCCCCTTCTTCCTCAAAATAAAACAAAAGAAAAGTTGTGTGTTATAGAGAGAATAGGAATAGTATATATAATCAAAGTAAAATAGCAGGTTTTCCCTATGGAAAAAGACCTAGAGGCTGGGGTTGTGGCTCAGCGGTAGAGCCCTCACCTAGCAAGGGCGAGGCCCTGGGTTCAATCCTCAGCACCATATTAAAAAATAAATAAATAAAACAAAGTTATTGTGTCCAACTACAACTAAAAAATAAATATTAAAAAAGCGCTAAAGTCACTATCACTTTAAGGGACCAATCCTTGCATCAGCAGCAAATGGTGGGGATAGGGGGATAAAGCTAAATGTCTCCTCATATGAAGGAAGTACCTTTAGTATTCCTAAAATCCTCATGGTTCATCATCAAATCTTTTTTGGTGGAAACCACCACCTATTTAGGTCCTAGAGATTCCCATGGAATAAGATCTAATCTGTACTACCATTAAGGGACATAAAAAAGAAATAAAAAATAATAAATACATGAGCAGTCTGATAAAAAGTTAGCAAAACGATGAATGATGAACAACATTTAGAGCACCAAAACTTTAGATATTGGGACCATCCATTATAGAATACATAAAAATTATATCTGGAATATTTACAGGATTGAAAGGTAATATTTTAAAGAAATATGGTAGCATGAGTGTATAAAAGTGACTTGGCCAACTAAATAAAGTGTCAAATTTAAATTTTAGAAGTGAAAAATGAATTCATTAAAATTACTTCCTCAATGAATACTTAAATAGAAGATTAAACAAGATGAAGAGAGAATTAACAACTAAACAAATGCAGCTGACGAATTTCCCTGTTGGGTTCACACTCAGCAATTCCACTTTTAGGAATATTGTAGAAACTTCTATACACTTAAATCAGGAGACGTAGAGAAAACATTTTTATAACAGTGAAAATCTGGAAACTATGTCCATAAAAAAAAGACAGAGTAAGGAAAATATGATTGTATTATAAAGTAAATTCCAGGAAGGCAGAGTTTGGTGATTTTTTGGTTTGTTTCCATTTTCTTACTACTATACCTCAGTTCCTAAAAAGTGCCTGGGACATGAGCATACAAAAATACCTTTTGAAGAAATGAATGATTTATTCATCCCATAGAATAAGTAGGTAAAAAAGTGAATCAGTTACCACAACTGAGTCAAAATGTGTAAAGGAACAAATTTCTGAGTGGTAACCTCAAAATTCAGAAGAGTTTTATTATTTTTATTAGGGGGAAAACAGAGCTCTGATAGAGCAGGAGCAGACAGCTATTTAGTCACTGATGATTCTAACTCTGAAATTGTGTAGCACAGTCACAGGTATTCATTCTCTTATGTTTCAGAGTTATAAAAATGTCTAAAAATTTTTTAAAGCATATAGAAGGAAAATGTAAAAAACATTAGTTCTCATTTCCATTGAATCAAATCCTACTGGTTCCTTTCCACCATCTAATCATGGCCCCCACCTTCCTACCCACTGAATGCAGATCATAAGTATCTCTGGACTGGGTTATAGTAGCACCCAGTGTATTGACCTCTTGTCTTACAATTCACAGGTTGATTCTTTTAAAAAAGCCATTTAGATATTGTCCCTTGATTAAACCCTTCAGATAGCTTTCCCTTGCCTTTAGGAGAGTGAATTTCATGAATATATTCAGGACCCTGTTTATATAACCATGTCTCTTCTTTGCTTCAATTCACCCTGCAGGTTTCAAATTAAACATAACCTTTGCATGTAACCCTTCCTTTATCCTAATTAACAAGACCAGGCACTTGTAGTTCCTCTTTGTCCGAGTTATTCTCTAAGTGAAGATTAGATACCCACCTGAACCTCATGCTCTGTCTATCCTGCTGGAAATACTCCTCATATTTAAATATCAGTTCTTAGAACACTGCAAGATAGTTTTCCAGGTGACCTTGGACTGACCCAGTTCTCTACCCTTTCTCACTGACAGTTCTCAAGGATAACTGCAGAAGGTGCTAGGAATGCAACAACTTGGGATAAGTGAGGAACTGGCCCAAAGAGCCAGGGCTCTGTTCTGGTTTTCTCCTACAAAGAGGATGTCCTTAAACATTTTAGTTCAGCAATTCCAGTTACCCCAGGATATGAAACCTGCTTTCTAGGATCCCTCAAATATGATGCATGTGGTGCATTTATACATGCCCTGGGCAGTTCCCTGGAGTCTAGGGAGAATGGTTTGCAATGAATCCTAGGTTTCTGTTGTGCCTTGATGCCTATCTCTGAGCAATAACTTCATGTCATTTGTTGTGTGTGTGGGAGGGTCTTCTGTCTCATTGAACTCAAATAAATTGGTAACCAGAGCACAGTGAACCTACTTCACAAACATGCATTTTAGTGTTCATTAGACTTACTGAATAAATTGATATCAGAGTATGAGAAGGAAAATTTAACCCTAGTTTTAGGCATGGAAAATGGAACATAGTTGGTGAAATTATTTTCTTATCTGTAAAGAAAGGATAGAATTGTTTACCACAAAGCTAGTAATGTTGATCATTTAATTACAGAGTAAAAAGGAAACAATGAATATCACAGAATGTACTAGAGAGTTTGAGATCCTTGGGAGGAGAAAGGAATGTTTAAATTTATTTTTGTAGTTTTAGTCATTAGCAAAGTCCACAGAACATGGTGATTTTTCTCTAAATATATTGGGAAAACAGAATATGATGAATTTTCTTTATCCTCTATGGTTCCTAGTGAGACCACACTGAAGCAAGAAATTAAAATGTCTGGATTATATTCTGAATCTTACACAAATACAGATCTTCATTTTGAGTATTTTTAATTGAGTTAACTGATTTCAAGAAAGAAACAATGATCTGAAAACACAATAAGAGCTTCATTAATATATTTTCTTTTGAAGTGTTGTTAGCTAAGCGAAGATATAAGGATTCATATAAATCACTGTAAATCCCCAAATGAATGTCAAAGTTAATTAAAGCTTCATTGACAACCCTAAAACTTAAAAATCAATAATGTTCTTAAAGATGTATTTTCAAGATCTTATGAGGCATCTCCCCAAAATGAATTTAAGAAAAGTTTCTAGTCACTATCCATTTCCTAAGTTTTAAACTAGTACTTTGACCTGATATACTTTATTGAATGAGAAAACCTTTGTAGTTTTTAATAATTTTTATTTAAAATTCATGCCCTAAAACTTAATAAAGTGGGGGAGAGAAATACATTTTTCATGAATCTTATAGGACCCTGATAGGCTAGCACAAATGAAAGTCATTAGAAAACTTTTAAAAAGAGGTCAAAATTACTTCTGCTGTTCTATACAATTACTTGAATCAATTCATTGCATTTTCGTGTCTATCATGTTTACCTTGGAGTTAATGTTTCCAGTTCTCTAAGTTAGCTATGTTATACTATTTCTTATTATAGAGCACAGATTTGCTATAATCAGTCTTTTCTTTCATACCACTGGTTTTGTTATTTGAGCTAAAAAAGAGGAACGATGGTTTCCTTGATGGTGAAAGAGCAGCAAGTATTTAGGAGAACTGCCTTTCGCTCATATAGACTCAAATCCTGGCTCTGCTACTTCCTAGACAGGTATCTAATTCTCTAAGCACCCACACTCTAACCCCTCTCTCTTCTATCTTCTCTTCTCTTTTCGGTAATACAAGGGTAATAATAACAGTGCCTACATCATAGGATCGATATGAGAATAAATAAATATATATCAGTCTAATTATAAATATATGCATATATATGTATAATTGTAAGTACATATAAAATTAACCCATATGTCTAGTACATATTGGGGGTTCAGTATCTGATGATTTTTGTTACATGCCATTCTCATTAAGTTGTAGCCTCAATACAAAGTTTTGGTCCCAGGAATCTCATCATGTTAAAGCACACACACGTACCTCTTCAGGGCATCCGCTGTCCACCCAGTCCTGCCGATGGCGATCAAACCCACTGGAACATCTTTGAAGATCACAGTGTCATTTCGAAAGGAAGGACGGTGTCCAGGATAGGGAAGAGAAATTAAAAGAACAAGGTTGGTAAGTAGTTCATTCTCAAATTTTCAGTTAGGCATAATATCAACTTTCTTCTGTAGAACTGGTAACTGGAGAAGCAGTGAAGCATTCAGTGTTAATGACTTCTCCTAGTTGTCAAACTTCTAGGGTCACACAAGACAAGACATTGCACCCCAAGGCTGACTCTTCTGTACAGAATGCTTAGAACCTTCCCACAAAGGCAAGATCAACTCTATGAAGTTGAATTTCTTTTTCCTCCTATTTTTTTCTCATCATCAAAATAAATGAATACAATTTTTTTTTTTTTTGCAGGTGTGAAGATTTCTTTCTTATTTATTTAATATCCATTATTATGGTTTGGATGTGAGGTGTCCTCCAACTCCAAAAGCTTATGTGTGAGACAAAGTAAAAAGGTTCAAAGAAGAAATTATTAAGAGAGCCTTAACCCAATCAGAGAATTTATCACCTGGTGGGATTAATTGAGCAGTAAGTGAAGGAAGGAGGGGTGTGGCTGGAGGAGGTGGGGCATTATGGGTGTGGCTTTGGGGTATACATTTGTATTTGGCAGGTGGTGAACTCTCTCTGCTTTCCAATCTTCATGTGAGCTGCTTCCCTCCTCCATACTCATCTGCCACAATGTTCTGCCTCCTCTCAAGCCCTGAAGAATGAAGCTGGCTGTCTATGGATGACACCTCTGAAATCATGAGTCCCTAAATAAACTTTTCTTCTTCTATAATTATTCTGGTTGGACTTTTAGTCACAGCAGTGAGAAAGCTGACAGAAATACCCATCATTCCCTAACCTCTTTATCTATTGTGCAGTAAAGGGTTAATGTGCAGTTTGGGGGTTTCAAACAGCTCCTGGAAGATAACCTCTAAACCCTGGAATATCCTGCCTGATAAGAGTGTAATCTTAGGTCTTGGGTTATGCAAGATAGCTTGTGCTGATAACATGATTTATTATGAATGTCTGGTTTTATTCACCTGGAGTCCTGGGCTATGCTGTATCAGTTTGACCTCCGGGGAAGTTGCAGACTGACACATAGGTAAGGTTAGTTACCGGGTGTTCAGTCCCTGCATGAATGATCCTAAGAACGCTGGACAATGGGAGTTGGGTGGGTTTCCTTGGTTGGCAATATCTGTGTGTTGAAATACACTGTTGGTGGGAGAATGGGGTGCTGTCTGTTTGATTTTGCGGACAGTACCAGAAGCTTTGCCTGGTCTTTTTTGGATTCTGACCGATGTGTGTTTTTCATTAGTTCATTTTAATCCACCTTATTTTTCTGTACTAAATGTCAAGTTTGAGCATAATAACTTTGGGGAGTTCTGTGAGACCTTCTAGTGAACCCAAGTCTGCTCCTGAGGATGTTCAGCAACACTGTGATTAGGTCATACTACAAAGGTCTAATTTATCAAGAACCTGTCAGTAAGACTTTGTTCCTGTTCTTTTCCTTTACTGTAATAATGTTCTGTCTTCTGGACGGATCTTGATACAACCCATTCATTTTCAAAATCCAGAAATTACAATCCAGAACACGTTCTTCTTATAATGCTTCATAATTGGGTTGATTACATCTTACTTTACTATTTAAGTTTTCTACTTTTTATCTCATGTGTTTCAGTCTCAATCACAAATTTGAGAAGATTTTAAAGTTAGGGTCAGTGTCTTATACTGATCACATCTAGTATATCAGATCCATGATATCTTTTTCATATTAGAAACTCAAAACAGCTTTCACCAGTCGATTAAGGATATACATTGACAATTTTTAAAATCTAAATATGTGTATACACACATATATAAATCTATATTAATATAATAGGCATTTATTTATTTTTCAAAATAAATGAAATTATCCACTAATTCTTTTACATTTCTTACAGCGCTTACAGTTTTACTTTGCAGACATCTTTTCCCCCCCACTTGTTTTGCAGTAAGTCTCCATATTGGCTCTTTCTAAGAATCCCAGCCAGAGATTATGTACCATGAAAGAGCATAATTTAATTCAAGTGGAATGTGAAAACAACCCCACTGTCAACAAAAAAAGGCCATATCTATCATTCTCTCCAGACATGATTCATTGAAGCTCAGCTATTTTATGCCTACCATCTGTGTTCAACAAGCTTAACTATGGAATAAACATCCATGTGTGATTTGGCATACTAACTTTGTGAATCCCCCGTTGATTATGGCCATCCCTGGTTACCTAGTGAGATTCTGATGTGTGGCGTCTATTTAATTCCAGATCAGTTAGATGACTATTCTCTCTTCTTTTTTCCTTTCAAGTCTGTTTAAATATTGAAGAATGTACTGACATTCTCTTTTGGATGATGCTGAGTGTATTAATTTTCTACAAAAAATGTTTTTTGGGAAACCACCTGTCCATCAGTTATTAAATGGAACAGATAATTTTTAAAATGTACTTTGTGTTCACATTCTGGATTTCAGCTGTATCCAAAGCCAATGGGATATGTGAACCTTTACCTTATATTAACAAGATAGCATCAGATCTTTAATTTGTATGTCATCTGAAATTTTACCTTAGAAAAATTAGTTGCTTAAATTGTTAAATTCATTCCAGGGAAAAGTACAGAAACATTGTAGTTTCCTTGATTTCCTAAATAATTCCCCAGTTATATTGTGCAAAATTGAGTTCTACTGAAAATATGTGTCAATTAGGTAATTAATTAATTCACAATTAATTGCCTACTCATTTATCTGTGCTTTACTAACAGTAAGGGAGAGAGGACTCAGAATGCTAAAACAAGTAAGATTTGGTTTATAAAGCTACTACTTTTTTTTTTAACCAGTTTACAGTGCCTTTTAAAAAAATGAATAAAACTGAATCCTGCTTTTTTATAAACCATTAATCCAAGTAGCATCCCAAAGCAATTATAAGTGTGTGTTTGTGTGTGTGGCGGGGAGGGGAGAAATCACTTTTGAAAAGCCACTTTCATGTTATTTCTGGATTCTAAATAAATCAGAAATCATCTTTGGAAACACTTTCTAGTCTCTATGAACTACGTTTTCTTTTTTAAACACAGTGACAATATCCATGTTATGCCTCAGCATATTGATTTGCCAATATTTTCAACAGTGATTCATAAGAGGGTCTCCCTCAGTGGAATTACCTATGAGGCCTGTTGAAATTAAAGTGTCTAACTGCACTAGATTCTCTAGCAGTGGGGGCCCACCCCAGGCCATTCTTACCACACTGAAATTTGAAAACTGCTGGTTTCTTGTAGATTATGCGCAGGGCCCTTGCCCCTCATACAGCCCACCCCACCACAACCCAATCCTATGCTTCTGTGTTCCCATACTAGCACTTTGATGTCCTTCCCTGCACATGCTGGTTCCCTCATGAAACCACCCTTTGAACATGCTGCTTCACAGGTCTGGGATTCCCAATTACTAAACGCAATTCAAAGCAAGCCTAATCTCCTCTCAGAAACATCTCCCCTCATGCCACCAGAAGAGTCAGCAATCCTTACTTAAAGTTCTGAAAAAGCCAAGTGCAATTGTACTACCATTGACTGCTTTCAAGTTTATTTTACAAGCCTTCAGGGAGCCGATGGTTAGAAGTAAGGGTTTTGAGTCAGAATTTTATCTCAGTGCAAAAAGAGTGTGTAATCTCAGGGAAGTCAATTTTCCTTTCTTTTAAAAAACAGTTTATTGCATCATGACAAACTAGAATCGCATATATTTACATCATATGAAGGGATATTACAATATATGTATTCAATGTAGCATGATTAAGTTAAGCAATTAACATAGTCATATCCTCAGAAACTTTTTTTGGTGTGATGAGAATATATAAAAATTTACTTTCCTAGTAATTTTAAAACATACAATATGCAATTATTAACTATAGTCATCATCCTGTGTAATATATCTCAAAATAGTTTTTCCTCCTAATTGGAACTTTGTTGCCCTTAAATTTTGTTTTCCTTTCTAAGCCTGTTTCCTCACCTGTAAAATGAAGTGGAGGAGATTAAATAAGGATTAAAAGTAGAGCATCTGGTACTGAGTAAAGGTTCAGTAGTTTTTTTTTTCTTTTTTTGGGGGGGAGCATAGCAGGAATTGAACTCAGGGGAACTTGACCACACAGCCACATTCTCAGCCCTATTTTGTATTTTATTTAGAAACAGAGTCTTACTGAATTGCTTAGTGCCTCGCTTTTTGTTAAGGCTGTCTTTGAATTTGTGATCCTCCTGCCTCAGCTTTCCAAGTTGCTGGGATTACATGTGTGTGCCACCATGCAGGGCTATCAGTTGCTGTTTTAACACCTAAGTAACTAATGTTTTTTTGTAGCAGGCAGGTAGCAAAGTTGATGACTGTAGAAAAATGAGTAGGTGACATTTTCACTATACAGACAAGATTTAGGAATACTTTAGGAATTTATTCCATGCACAATATTAAGTGTTTTACAATATAAAGTTTCTATCATCATATTTGAGAATCAGTATTAAAGAATCTTGAGAGAGAAAAATCTAAGTTGCCATCACATTTTTATCAAATCTCTATTCAACATTTGTAAGTAGATAGAAACTGTGGTTTTGTAAATTTTCCTTTAAATTTTATTTCAAAGAGGTCTCATTGCCTAAATACAATAAGTTCCCAATGGTTTTTCCCCAACATGTTATCTTTTTACCATTATCTAATTCCAATAGAAATTGATAGAGGGTCATACTTCAAATTATTTCTATTTCTCACTCAATTTCTATAAGGTACTCATGTCAAAACACCAGATATAGGTGTTAAATGAACCTTACTAAACAATTCCACCTAGAAAACAACAACCACCAAAAAATTCTCTTTGCTTGCAGCCCTATCATCTCAAGAGATAAAAGAATAAATTACATCACATTTCTTACTTATCTCAGTTTTGTAGAAAGTTTCAAATATAGGACTTCTTCTTTGGCAAGGGTAAGATAATATTTGGATGAA